TAACCGTCGTAAAATCTTAAGCTTAACACTTGTTTATGTAAAATAGCGGTTAAAATGGTTGGGGGGTTGTCTAATTATATATTCTTTATCAGTTTAAAAGAATTTCGGTTTAGTTAGAAATCCCCTAAAACCATTTTAATTAAAAAAGATGTTAACCTTAAGATTTTACGACGGTTAACACGTCTTGTGAATCCCCTAATTGTAAGTGTACAAACTAAAGATTTCTTAACAGTTTTCAGTTTGAAATCCATATTTTGATATTTCACAAAACTTGTGTATAAGTTAACTAAGTTCGACATTTCAAGCATGTGGCAACCCTTTTCAAAATATTTTCAAACTACTGCCTTCTGAAACCGCTTTCTTTTCGTACCCATATGGTGATATTTCCCTTTCCTAATTTCCTTAATTCAAATTAAATTTGCTATTTTAAACAGCTGGAAACCCTCCTATAGTTAAGTTAAGAATAAAACATTTGCATAACCAATTCGATTAATACCAAATTTTTAAGAATTGGTTAGTTTTTTAAAGAATTTGAATATAATTTTTTTAAATATGGCAACCTTCTTCAAAAAAGTAAATCCTTATTGCACATCTGCAGTCCAAGTCTTTTAATTTGACACCGCATTTTGGGAAAATTGAACGAACGGTGCGGATATGGTGGCATTGATTACTAAGTAATTTGAATTTAATTTTTCAACAGGTGGCAACTCTTTTCGAAAAAATAAAGCCAGTTTGCACATCTACGGACCAATCGCTTTAATTTGGCACCTCACCCTTGAAAATTAAGTGAACGGTGCAAATCTTATGTCCTGGACAAAAAATCCCTTCGCGTATTATAGGATATAAGGATATGGAAGAACCACTGTATTTAATAAGGAGAAAATGCGGATGTACTTTTCTTTTTGCTTATTCAACTTTCAATTCGTTTTAACAACATCGAACAGCTGATGATTTGACATTTACCTGATTTTAACAGCAAAAATTCTTTGTGTAAAATCTTGCAACTTTTGACAAAGAGAGGACCGATTTTACTCTTATCCTAATTTGTGTGCTGAAAAATGAAAAGGAGTAGCTTTCGCAGCAACAAAATCTTAAACAGCTTTGCGCTTCGTCTCTTTAGTGAGTTGTCCCCTCCAAATGGTAAATAGTTCACTACCGGAAGTATAAAGAATACCTACAAAACAAGCAATTTTCTCAGAAAACGCAAAAAATCGCAAAATCAAATTGACACAATAAACTCAGAACTCTTCATCTTTCACACTTTTGATAGTCTTAAAACGGCAAAATCCGGCCAACATTTTAAAAGCATATACAAATATCATAAAAAAAATTCAAGGGTATATCGGACGTACATATGTATTTTTCACTCCAAACAAATTTCTATGAAAGGAAGCAGTTATAGACAATGACCTTGACATCCTTCTAAGCAGTTGTCGTTCGTTTTTTACAAAAACCGAAGACACCGTTGTTTAATTTTGAACTTTTCTGGCCACATAAACTGACAAAATTACCTATAGTGCAATAGCCCAATATACAAAATGTACAAATGTACTAATCGTGTGACACGGCCTTTAGTCGATACAATACAATTTAACGAATTCAGTTACAAGTCTATAAAAAAGAAATAACAACAATAATACTCGATTAACATAGACTAGATAATGGCGATAGCGGTGGTTAATTTCTCTAGTTTATAAATAATTGAATACAAATCTAAGAAAACTCAAACTTTGCCGACGGTAAATAGAGCATCAAGCTCGGTTAAAATTGATATTAATTAATGGGTCTCATAAGTGCACCTGCCGCTGGTTAATGTTTTGTTGAAGGGTTATATTTCTAATATCTGTTATTTATGTTCTGCAAATCATTGAACCTAGAATCAGTTGAATTTCTCAAATTGATATTCACCACTATTTTGTTGTGCTTAATTTAAGTTTATTTCATATTGCTATAATTTATTTTAATTTATTTATTATTTATTTTTGAGTGTGCTATGTTTGAATATTAGAAAAAATATAATTTTTGGTTTCACCAGTATCTTAAATGAATAACGATTTTTTATATCAAATTCAATTAAAAATAATTAAATTTCTCTTAAATTTTCTTCGCGAAACTGGCTATTATGCTGACTACACACGAGGCAGCCGATGAAGCAACGTATTGAAGCAACATGATTTTCTTGTTGAATATAGACGAGGCAACCGTTGAAGCAAGCAATACGGTAATCTCAGTAGTGCTTTCTGTATTATAAAATGAAAATACGGAAGAAAATTTTGATTTCTACCAAACCACTTTCTCAGTTCGTCTGTTTAACGAACTAAGCCAATAAACTCAATACACACGACGCAAACGAGAAAACAACTAATACAAATATTTTAATTTTCGGGCGACGATTGCGGCAACGAAAACGAAAAGTAGCGTCCTTTCGAATTTTTTCTCTGTGAGACTTCAAAAAAAAAAATTACTTTATTTACAAAGAAGATGTCGGCCTTAGAGAATAGGAAAACAGTAGAAGGAACATAGACGAGAGCGAAAAAACATGTTTCACATACCAGCGACATGTGACCGTAACAAGAATCATAAATTGCTTGATCTCACTGAAAAATCACAGCCTATAATGACAATAAAGTCCAAAGTAAGCAAAAAAAAAAACACTAGAGACTATGCATGAGCCAGGAATTTAGTGAAATATATGCATACCACTCTATCGAATATTTTTTAAACGTTGAAAAGCAAGAAATTAAAAGCAGCTATGGGCGCTCTCCCGAAATTAGCTTGCACTACATTCATTGTTTTGTACAACGGATTAGGGAAATATTTTTCGTGGGGGACCCGTGAAAGGACACCTAAATATAACTGTGAACTAATTATCGTCTAAACGACTAAAAAAATAGTAACTCAAATTGGCACAATAAAGTCCCATAATAATGTTTTTAAATAAGCCCTCCGCACTATGCCTAAAAACTTAAACAGACCAATCGTTAAGACCATAAGTCATAAATATGTGAGTAGAAAAACAATATTTGTTGCATCCGAAAAGATAGCTATTTCTTTTTACTGCATCAGTGCGTATTTCATTCCGCGTACGTTATTTCTTGTTTCGATTTCATACAAAAAATTGTTTCACATTTCCGTTTGACCATTTAAAAGTTGTTTATCTATCCGCAGATTTTCATCGCTAGTGGCTTGATTTTTTGGGCAACAGAAACAGGCTTACAATTTTAGTTGTTTGTTTCATCTAAATGAAAACATCTTGGGAAAATTACCCGATCTGGAATCCATAACTTAGCACCCAAAGTCAAATTTGCGTTTCTCGGCGTTTTTTTTTTGTGTAATTTCAAAAGATGAAATTTTCCTTACATTGTAATTATACGCTTTGATTTTGCTACTCTATGGTAGGATTTCGAGCTCCGAACAGCAGCTTTATTAAAGTTTTTTTTTTTAAATTTTTTTTTTTAAGGTATTTTTCACCCTTTTTATTCCTTTGCTAATAAACTCATTCAAAGGAGGAAAGAGAAAGGTAGGATGAACGAGTGTCATTTTAAGTTGAATTAAAAGAAAATACCATTCTAACGATACCCCACAAGTCTAAATCGGAATAATTTTCGCCAAGTTATTCAAGTTTTCGTAAAAAAATCTTTGAAAAAAGTTAAAAAACAGCATCAAAAATCTCATTATTACGATTCCGTTGAAAAGATTTTTAAATATTTTTAAGCAGATTTGTTAAGCTTAATATGTTTCGTCATCTGAGGGGATTTTTTTTCAAAAAGATCTTTAAGAAACTATTTTTATTCATAAAAAATTCCATTTTTAGAGGTATTTTCAAACCGACCCAGCTTACGTAAATCTTAACATTTTTCCAAAATATTTTGGTGAGCGTCTTCGTTTGTTATCCCGGCGGAAACAGCGCAACGTTTTTGGTGAGTCTAATGTATATATTTTGTTTCCCTTTTACTAACAAGCGTTAGAATTCCAACTGCTGAAAAGGCAATAAGCGCTACCATGCCTGTGCGCCTATGAATATGCTACACAATTTTTTCGGTCATCTGTCGCACTGAAGCTGTTGCCGAATACACTTTGTTGGCATTAAAAATTTAGCTGCACTACTGGAACACCCAAAGGCAATCAAATTTATTGCGCTCATCAGCGACGTGTGAGCGAACGGCAAAATACTTACATATATGTATGCACGCATACAAAATATCTGTGAATGTATGTAGTATACAAACTTAGTATCACATATGTATGTATATCCTACGCATACGTTGCTTTGTTTGTATGTATGCATGTAGCGTTGGGCGGGGTGGGAAACAATAGTTCACGGGCGCTGGCTATAAATAATTAAATTGCTTTTACAGTTTTACCTTCACTTTCTTTCTACATCCTCGAAGAAAACTCAATTCTATCCACACACATACAAATACACAGACACCTACACCGTCACACATACATACATACGCATACATTCTTAAAAACACTTATTGAAAGTGAAACACAACACCTACACAGGCGCGTTTTTGATTAAATATCGCCGTATGCGTTGTTGTTGCTCCTCTACGAGTGTCCACATTTCGATTCCCCCGAAAACTTTGTTGCTAGTTGCTGTTGAACTTGATACGCACTACATAAGCATACATATGTACATGCGTGTGTTACTTTAACCGCCACGAAAAGTGATTTATTGAAAAGAAAATAAGAAAGAAAAAAAAACCGACAAGAGGAACTACACACATTTTTCGTTGACTTTGTGTAATCATTCACATTCGCATCGTTGTTGGCGCTCCTCCAACGAAAACTACGCAAAAAAAGCAAAATAAAAACACTTTCAAGTATACGCAAGAGAACATACGCAAGTTAAGGGAAACATTTACAAGCCGTTGAATTAAAGGAAAGAAAAATAAAGTACACACAAATATAAATAATTACGCGCATTTGTAAACTTTGTTTGTTCTAATCGCCGTCGCTTGTACATATATCGTTTGTGCGCATTTGCAGGCGCCACATTTGTCGCATCCACAACAGCAGCGGCAGCAGCAGCGCCATCCAACTCACACACCACGGCGCGCGATAGAGTGACTCTACTAACCTCACCCCTGAAAACAGCCGCCCCAAATTTTACTTACCACTCTCTAGCAAACAGCAACAACGTCGCAGCTCACAATATACGCCTTTGTTGTTTGTGTTAAGTGTCGTCATCGATTTGATTAACAAAAAAAAAAAAAAAACTGAGTCAGTGTTTCTGGTTATTTGGAATTAAAAAGTTTTTGTGTTAAAAAGTAAAAAACCTTCCTTATGATCGGATCATTTTGGAATTTGTGTAGAGCGTGCCCATCAATGCCGGTCGACAAGGTGAGTGGTACAGTACGTAAATATCATTTTTTAATAATTGTTGTCAATAAATTATTGCTTTTATATATTTACAATATCTATGTGGTCATTTAGCTTAATTATTAAAGATATTATCGTAATAATTATGGTCAAAGGTACCCCTTTGTAAGTTTCTAGCGGTACCAGATGAATGTGGAACCTTTAGGAAGATTTAAAGTGGGCATAATGAAGAAGGCCTATATTTCTTCTAGAGACCCACTTTGGTGACATCCTTCAGATTTCAAAACTTTTTTAGTAGGTTACCTAATATCGAAGGACATAAGCTTCACTTGCAAGGAATTGGCAGGTTGTACAGAGAACACAAACGGGGATATAAGAGTCGGGTTTAAGTATAGTCCCACAATTGTTAAAGCATACCCAGAAAAACGACCACATCTAAACTTTTTCTCCTGGAAAATATTTACTTGACTTTGACAAGTGTGTTTATGTTGATCTCTTAGTGGTTGAGTGCGAAGCAAAAAAAGTGGTTGGTCACTACCGATACCAGACGGAGATCTAACCTTAGTTTGTCCCATAGTAGACAAGACTAAGATCCAGTTTTGAAACTGAGTAGCTACCAGGTATTTCATTGGTGTATTTACAAAAGAAAAGTTGGTCTTCCGAGGTTTTGGGTGTAGTCCTTAATGTAAAATTACTAACCATCACACTTACTTGCACTGTTGCCAACTTAACTATTACACTGTTGCTAGCTTAAATTCGTATACTGATAGTAAGCAGTGTGCGGTCTTTATGCGACAATGCCAGTATGAATTTTTCAACGTCGCAACAATTATACTGTTGGGGATGTAGAAGTATATTTTCCTGTTTTAACAATTATTTTCGCTGTGTGACGTAAAAGCCGTGGGAGATCTCACTCAGCTCCATTTTTATTTCAAAGAGTTGGAGTTGGTTGGTGAGACTCGAACCAACGGCATTTGATTAAGCTGATCAAATAGTGAAAAAATATTAAAGGATTTAAGAAGGTGGGAAGAACAGGGAATTTGAGGAGTTTTTGGCACAGCTCAATGTTCAACTGAAAACTTATGTAGTATATATGTATATACATGTATGTATGTAGGTACGAAATTTGTGAGCGAAACTAAAAAAAAAAATAAAAAAACATTGTACTTGTTTATTTTTGAACTTTAATTTCACATCTTCAATTCGATATAAAATAGAAATGGGAACCAACTAATTCTGTTCCTTGATGTTGTGACAAAAATCTACAAATTTACTCCACCTCCGAAGAAGCTTTTTTATGGCTGAAGTACACTCGGTGGTTTGCCACTGTCTGCCGAGGGGGGACCGCTATTTAAAAAAAAAAAACTTTGTTGATGTTGCTGAGACTAGGAATTGAACCATAGAGCTCTAGTGTGGCAATAGGCACAACTAAGCACTCGGCTACGGCGGAAAGAGCACTACTCAAGTACAAAATAGTTAGACAAAATGCAATAAAGTATTAAAAAAAGTTTAAATAAGGACAAAAGCGAATTATTCACTGATTTCGTTTACGTTTGATCTAAAAATACTTTTGAACTTATTGATCTTTTGTAAATAAAAGCTATCTTTGCTGTTAATAGTTTTATTATAATTTTTAGTCATGACCTCATACAAACATAAGCAGTTTCCCTATATGAAAACTATGTAAAATAAAACCGCTTTCTCCTTAATTTAAAAATTTTAACCGCTTTTTTTTTTAATTGCAATTTATCGAAACGTCGAAAAACGGTTTGGAAAAAAGACGAATAATGGAATACCGTAGTGAATAGTAAGGAAAAATTACACAAAATTGATATTTAAGATTATGGGCCATTCCAGAGAAATTTCTATAGTTAAGTTTAACTAATGATTTAACTATACTTTAAAATAAATAAGTTAACGACCCTATGTGTTAAAAATAAAATATATTTATAAAGTTATGAATTTTAAAAACTATGCAAAATGGACGTAGTCCACCTATGTACTAGAGATGCCAGATCGAAATAAAAAAGATGGAACAGAAATAAATCGGAAAAATATAAATCGAGCTCCCAAGATCGATTCACATATTGGCAAAAAAGTCATTTACTTAATTTTAACAAGTAAGAGCAGCGCTGTCTTCGGCTATGCCGAAGGCTTCATACCTTTCATGAACATCTGCAAATTTTAGTTTGACAGATTACTGATTTTGAATACATCTGCATACATCGATAGAGGAGTTACACGCTCGACCCTATTAAGCTGGCATTTCAGGGTACTATTTTATATATATATATAAGGAAAATTTTAAAGTTAGGGGGGGGCTCGAGCACCCCCTGCCCCTACCTGGCTACGCCCATGGGTATCTGAACAATCAGTGCTATAGTAGATAAAGCTTATACAGCATAGATTTTGACGATTTTCTCAGTAGACTTTGTATTATTATTTATAAAATATCTTACGAAATTTGTCGGTTTTAGCTGTTCAAATAAAGGAGTTTTACAGTAAAATCCCATATCTGAACAATCAGATGTATGGAAGATATATGTTGTAGTCACCCGATCCTTGTTATTTTCACTGTAAGTATTCTGTTAATAATGAGTGAAAATGGTGCGAAATTTCATGTTCCTAGCTGCATAAATGGAGGAGATATGATAAAAGACCTCATATCTGAACAATCAGTTGTATGGGGGCTGCAGGTTATAGTGACCCGATCTTCGTTATTTTCACTGTAAGTCTTCTGCTGATAATGAGTGAAAGCAGCGCGAAATTTCATGTTCGTAGCTGCGTAAATGGAGAAGTTATAACGAAAAATCTCATATCTGAACAATCAGTTGTATGGGAGCTATATGTTA